AAATCCTTTATACCAAAAACAAGTTTCTAAGGTATTACAAAAAAAAAATCCTACAACATAATTTATTAGATATAATTGTTAGTAGTTATATTAATAATAGTAGGTAGTAAATTTAAATTGTGTTCTTCTGGTACCTACCTTATATATAAGAAAGACATACAACATAGTGTTAAAGAAACGAAATGTAAATATACTTACTTTTGGAGATTATAATGCGCACCGTTTTATGCAATATTTTCAAACCTATAATTTGTCAAAACAAAAAAAAAAAATTGTACAGAATTATAATAATATCTTAAAACAATACTACAGCAAAATGTTCAAATAGTGAGCAAACCGAGTTTTAGATGACTATACAATTAAAATATAGAAAAGTGTTTTGAAAAAAAAAATCAATATTGAACACAATAATGCAATATAATAAATAACCAAGTGTGTTCCAAATCATACAAATACAACAATAAAACTATGAAGACATATAACATATTTAATAATGAATATAATTTAAATTAGTATAATAAAAAAATGTAATTTTTTTTTTTTACTTTTTTATACTTGTTTCTTTAATTATTTGTTAATTGAATAGTTCTCATGTATTGTCAATGGTTTATGATAAATAGGAATGTACCTAAAATATCAGAGAAAGCCTCTTGTTTTAACCAAAAATAAAAACGTACTCTGTCGCGTCGGTCATAAAAATGAATATAAATATAAATGACTTTTTGAAGGGGCAGAGCAAAAATATATTTTTAACAAATTGTAACAATTTTTTTATAATATGCTGTGTAGGTAACTTTTAAAACGTACAAGTCTTACAATCATTTACAAACTGTACAGCCTTTAGTTCGTACTTTTAGTTATCGGATAACCTAATGTAGGTACTTAAACCAAATCTGATAATGATTTCATCATTTGTGAACTTGATAAGTTAAAAATTCTCAGTATTTTTTGTGTTTTTTTTTACTTTAATAATTAGTATATTTACCAATGAAGTCTTATAAATATATATATATATATATATATATCTTATTTTTGACTCGATATAATATTATTGGAAATGATAAACAATTTAAATTAGACTTTTTAAATAGATATCATTTTAAAATAAATAACTTTCAATGTTTTCACGTGAACAACAAGAGCCATTTGTGCAAAATTGATATAAGTTTTTTTCGGATCAGCTACCTTCAAACTTTGTTGAACTGTGATAATTGGTAATGAAAAAAAATCCACGATAATTTTTAACGCTATTGTATATATTTTTTAACAAAAAAGTCATAAAAAATTCAAAATTCAATTAAGCAAAACTATAACCTAACCTACACCGTGTCACATCTGCAAAGGTGTGGTTCGACAAAAAAATATTTACATAACACAGATATTAGAAAAAAAAAAGAAAATATGTTGTTCCGGACTTAGCACCGTCGCAAAGAATAATATTTATTTATGAATAATATAATATACGTTTTATATATTTTGTTACACTCAATGCGCAAATAAAAAGGTAAACGTGCCCAATGAAAATAACATTTCAGTGTTTTCAAGATATTCAAAGACGTTCAACACAAAATAATATAATTAATATTATTTATTTATTGACACCCAAAGGGTAAAGTATATAGATGTGCATTAAATTAATATATAGATACAGATAACAAGACACAACATAAATACATTGGCGTTAAAACGAAAAATAAAAATTTACAATAACAAATTACTAACTTTAATTTTTAACTGTTGAAGTGAGTCGAAAAATAAATCATAATCAACAATTTTATTTGCAGAGGAGAGGAGTCGAAATAAATGGCTCTGGGCTGTATAGTTATTTTTAATAATAGGTACTAAAAAAGGGGTGCTTCATCTTGTAATGGAACTTTAAATTTTACTAACATAAGTAATTCTGGACAGTCAATATTGCCATAGTGGAATCAGCGAAAGCCCTGAATAGACTATCGAAGCTAAGAAACAAATAATGATACAAATTGTATCAGAAAATGTATTAATGATAATAATAATCACTTGGAGAAATTTAGGAAGTTGTAAAAAAAGGAATTTACACCAATTGTCGTTGTAGATAATTTAATATTCTTCGACTTTAAGACAGAGGTGAGGGGGCATTTTTTTTAAGCAATTTCACCTAATGAAATTTTCTTTCATATGTGCACTGCAAAAGTGTGGTTCGTTAAATTAATATTTACTTAATATTTAATTCGACGAATACGATGAAAATGTAGATGTGTTATAATAATTATATCAATGTTATAACGTTTAGTATCTTATAAGTTCATTGAATTTTTTTCATTGAATATAATAAATCACCGTTTTCACTAATTGTAGATTATTCAGTTCCGCACTAGTTTTATTTTGCTAATTTTGCTATTCTTCAATTTGAATGTCAGAACTACACATGTTCATGTTAAATATTGTTATTACACTAGATTCATGTATTACTCGTTTAAACTTAATCAGATTTCTTTTGGTTCGAAGTTCGTGGAGAACACATTTTCTCATCAGGATTTAAAGGCGCACGGTGAATACTTACAAAGCTTAGGCGACACCGTCTTGGCGATGCTCGAGAAACTTCATCGTAGAAGGAAACAAGTACACAGTCTGCCTCTGATCTGATGACAATAAATGTATACTTGAACAACGTCCTGGGAACGTTGTTGGTCAGGACGTTCGACAACAAAGAAATAGCTGATTCAAGCGATACAAACAATTTACACTATAAAAAAGAATTCTAAAAGAGCATTGTAGCTGGAAAATGGCGGTTTATTTGATTTCGAAAAGTCCGGAAACATTGTACGACTCCAAAGTCGATCCGGATTCAGACAAAGGTTACCACTACGATGAACTCAACGACCTGCGTTTATCAGGCTATGTAAACTGGGACTATTTGACAAAGGATAAGAATGAATTGCAACAACAGATGGCGCATCTACACGACAGCACGTTGGAATTGAAACACACGATGATCACCGACGTGTGAAAAAAGACACGTTATCGATTTTCTATCCTAAAAATATGTTCTTCTTCAACCTCGAGTTGTCTCGAGATGAAAACAAAATCTCCACCTCGGATTCGCTTCGGACCGGCAAAACGGATTACATAAGGTTGTTGCTGACAGTTACTCTGAATGCAAAGTTGGAAAACGGAAACCACGCCAACATAGCCAATCTATTTGCGATGGTTCGACGTGGAATGTCTTACGACACTTCCTGTGTTGACGGAAGTCGTTTCGTATGTATTGTTGGTCAGAAATATGTTTTACTAGGGACACAAAAAATTCCAAGACGTGCCGACCAAAGCTAAGTTGTTCGAATTGGGCAAAACCGTCCATCGAGTACTCGGACAATTCACCGACTTAAAGATTTTACCCAGAAAAGTTCAAAGACATTTACCCACGCCGAATTGAACCATCTGATTAAATACACCGGTAAAGAAAACATACAAACGGCGTTGCCAGAATGGTTAGCCACGGTTTTCAGGCGATGCTCCAACCTCATGGGGCTTAATAAATTTAATTTCCTCGACCAACATTACCCCATAAACTTGAAAACCTAATGTGATTGCAATAATATCGTTGAAGCGTTAAAAACAAACACCTCAAGTGTTGAAATATATGTTAAAGAATTGAACAACTATCGAAACGATTACCACGTTGTTGTAAATTCCAATAAATACGTTTCCTACGAAAATATGTTTCTGGCTAATACCGACAGCTATGACATTGTAGACGAAAATAAACTCGGTAAGTAATAATTTTACATTATAATTGCTTCTTTGTACTTGTAAAAGACAACATATATTTAATATAAAACTTAGTCGTAAAAATGCGTTTTCTATATAGACTATAAATTTTCACAGTTCTCTTTCTAGTATGATATTGAACTTTGAACTCTTTGTGTGAAAAATGAGAAAAATTTGTTGCAAATGAAAATTATAGCAATTTTTTTACATTTTTTTTTAGGATATAGCATTCTTATGCCAAAACAAGAACAAAAAGAATCAAGCCATTATGTTCGTTTGCTCGAAGATTTTGTTAAAATAAAAATATCACAGTCAAAATTATTAAATAGTTAAAGTGGTTTGACTAAAATATTGAAATACAATTAATTCTTTTGAAAAAATTGTATAAGGTGAAGGTTTATTATTAATTTTATTATCATCACATTTTTTTATTGTAGTTATTAAAACCATATGGATTATTAAATAAGTTGAACGTCTTCATAGTTTTATCGTTGTATTTGAATGTTTTTAACACATACTTACTAATATATTGATACATAAAATTTAAAAAGTACCTATATTTTAACACTTGGCAATTTATCATATTGTATTGTTGTTTCAATGTTAACTCTAATTTTTAATCGTAAAACAGCAATTTGTAATTTAACTCTATAAACTTTCAAAACTCAGCTTTTTCACTATTTGCACAACTTTCTGAAGTATTAGTTAAGCATATTATTACGTTGGCGTGTACCTAAAAGTATCATGTTTTATTTTGAAAATTGTAATTTTGGAAATATCGCACAAACCAATGCACATTATAATCACCAAAAGTAAATACTAAAATTTGGTTTCTTTAACACGTCAAATGTCATTGATTTGTGTTCTATCAAAAAAAAATAATTGTAATCAATATGTTTAATATATTATACAAAATCGTCTTGACTGTACTGATAATTATGCACAATTATTTTAGTAATATTTCTCAAAAATAAATATTGCCGGTACATTACTCCTTAATAAATAGTGGATTTACTCGTCGGTGAAGTAGATCCGTTGTTCATCTTCGCAAATTAAGCACATTATGGTCACGCTTTTAAAATATAAAAATCAAACTTTTCTTATCAACGTTAGTTGTTGTTATCAGCTGATCATAACAATTTAAAATAACCCGGCATCCGTGGATAGAGTGGATTACCCGGACCGCGGTAATAACCATATGTTTGTTATCAAAACATGAGTAATCGAGGTTATGAAAATATTTCAAGTGAAGTTGACCCTAAAATCAAAACATTATCATTTATTAAAAAAAAATAATTTAAATTTGATGTGTTAAATTTGAATATTTTCCTCTAAAATTGGTTTCAACCGATCCGAGTATTTTATTCGATTCGACGTTGATCGCATATTCGATTCGCAAAGTAATCGTTAAATATTATTCGGTGGGTAGATTTTTTTATTTTATTGATAACGACTCCCAGTCATAATATTAATCGTACCGTTTTATTGCCGAAATAACCTTTTTCAGCTGACCGCCAACCGTTTACTGTTGCCCTGTTGTATCGTATGTCAAAATGGGCGGATCGGCGAGCACAACCAGCAGAACATTGGAAATCGAAAATCCCAACGTAGTCAACATATCGGAAAAAGTCGTCGACAGACTTCGAGGACAAGCGCAAGGCGTGAACGCGGAGGCTATCGGTGTGCCGACTTATCAAATCCAACCTTCAACCTTACAAATACAGAAGTCGGTCCAAGAAGCGTTAGAAGAAAATGATAAAAGATGGGAGCAACGTTTTCGTCATGTACACCAAGAACAAAACGCGCTTAGCCGCAAGATAGAAAACGAATACAAGCGGGCGTACATTTCGGTAAAAGAATTGTTGCCCGAAATCGGAGACGGAGTGCTAAGCCAAGGGGTACAGAAAAAGGAACAAGATTTACTGGAATGCTTGGCTAAAAATAAAGGCTCGCCGTTGAACTGCAACGATACCGTTAAAGAATATCAAAAGACACTTTTTCAAACTTCGAGTAATCAAACATTGTGAAAAGCATGTGATTGCGTCTAGCCTTAATAGAAATAACAAGAAACGCTATGTGTACATTTGAATTATATAATATCTCGAAAAAATATTTAATTAGTATTACTTTGTTGGTTCAATAAAATGTTACTACTTTGTTATGTATATAGTTAAGACGTTTCTTGACACAGTAGCACAGTAACAACCACTGAAAACCTGCAATCGCTACGTGAATGGTTTTTTTTAATAACTCGCCGCAAATGCGTTTGCTGTAAAAGATTGCAGACAGTATTGTTAGACAATTATTCTTTTATTTATTTACAACTCAAACGTAACAAATTAACTTCAATGTTGAATTAAACTTGGTTATTAATTTAACTCAATTAACAAAAAACAAAAAAGGTAGAAAAATTCAAGATTGTCATTGTAGTAAGTTTTGAGCCGGTTTACTGCTCTTTAAATATATTTATATATTTTTTTCATTTATTTATCACAAAAAGTATGCGTTCATTTTTATTTTAAAAAAAATTGTAACACAACGTCACATTATGTGCGACAAATTAAACTTATATTTTGAGCATATTCGATAGGTTTATACCAATTTGTTAAGTTACTTTCGCTCTTTTTTCTCAAAGAAAAACATTAAGTCGAATTTTGATCGCTCGATTTTCATATCACTCTGTACGTAATGGAATTACTGTTTCTGGTAAATAAATGCAATAAATATAGGAAAAAACATAAAACCCAAACGTACAGATATATGTTTAAACTATAAAATCTTGACGGAGACCATAATATTGTATAAGTGACCGAATGTCTGAATGTATCTAAAGAAACAAAAAATTAAAGACTGAAATTATAAGCACTACGACCAAATTAGTATATCGATACAATATATGAAATACTTTACCAATAGTCAACACGCCGTATCCCACGTTTTCAGATCCCATTCTGTACGAACACGTGGGCACGATGATTTCGGTGACGACGTGTGGGGATTGTTGTCCGAACCTCCACTGCGCTCCAGACATACTGCTTAAATTGTTGAAACCCAGTCTTTGTACAAATATACGTTCTTTTGTTTTCGCGTTGCTGACAAAATTGTACGAGTTATGATCGTGAGCGGAGATGATGAATTCATTGTTAAACTCGTGTAACACCTGCAAAATGTAATTTCATAATTAAAGTTCATCCAAAATCACTTGAGTAAATAATGGGATGTTACTTTATCCGTGTATTGGGACCATTTCGTCGTCAACGGTACGTGTGAAAACATAATTTTTATTGTTTTTGTCGAATTAGAAGTGTCTGTATTATTAGGCATTGATTCTATTAATTTGTTTACCTAAATTTTAAATTTATTGTAATTATTAGTAATAATTTATGAAAAAAAATTAATAAAAACCGTTACCATAATAAATTGAATATTTTGTTTTTCAATTATTTCCGGCGACCCAAAATGGGCATTGAAACGATCGACTTTTTCTCGGATAACAATTTCTTCTTCGCCTCCGATATCGTTGTCACCCGGAATGAAAATCACCTAAATGACAATTTGACCGTTTAACATCGTTTACAACAGAACAAAGAGAAACTATTTTTATAAACTCACATTCTGCGATGCTATAGGAGGAGAATTTTTCAAGAAAAATATCTTGCAAAACCTGTACAAATATCTTTCGAAACATTGTTGGTCGGCCAATGATCCTTCGTCCATCAGATCACCCATGAATACAACATTGTCGGGTCTGACGTGTTGGAATGCCCGGCCATAAGTGTTAAACAAGTATCGATCACTGTCCCAACGCGTCAACAAATTTTCATGCTCTTCACCCAATATTTGTGGATCGGCCACTAACAAAACTCTAGTGCAATAATCTTCATTACCGCAATACAACGATGGCCAATTGCCTGCATACAGCGAATATACAAGCCATTCGTTATAAATTACGGTTGCGGCTATAAAAAACGCTAGCACATAATTGATGTATTCACTGCAAAGAAAATTAAATATTCTATAGGAAATTATTGTTCATTACTACAACAGGCGCCTTATGGCATAGGAGTTGTTAAGCCATGCACAGCACCTACTTAAGAGAAGTAGTTTTAAACCAATAGTAATACATACGTACTTGAGCCGGTTTAATGTTATTTGCGAGAATGTTTTTAATCTTGACAAATAAAACAATTGGAACATTTTTGTTATTAAAAATATTGCATTAATACTTAATTTAATCGAAATCTATTATGTTTGTACATCAACGTTACTTGTATTTATTAATACCGATTAACATGGTTAGATAAACTTACTAGTAAAATAGTTATTAAACATAATATTATAAGTACGGTTAAAGGTGCATTTTTTTATTTGATTTACGATAACGTGACTTTTTTTTTAAGTATCTGATGCGCAATTTTTGTTCTCTTGTCTGAGATTCATATTATTTCAAATTGTTTTTATTTACTATCTAGTGTGCTCTACTATCAGCAGGTCTGTACGGACCCGTTATCACAATAACGATAACGTAACGTTTGATAAAAAAAAGTAAAACGGTTGTACTCCATGGTACAACCAGGCTCGGTTGTAACCATAACCGACCGGACGACGGTAGAGTAGCTGCTGGCAAAACGAGAAACGACAGCGGCTCCCTATTGGACGGCACGGCGGACGACCGACCAATCGAGACGTTCGGACGTTTTTCGCCGCGACGGTGGCCACACTGTAGCGAAAAACCGATATGTCACGGCCAACCTCCCGGCCCGGCCGCCGCCCGCCGGTGAGCAGCGAGCGGTAAGTGGTTGTTGTTCTCGTAGCGTTGTCTCCCCCAAGCGGCAAGCATACTAGCGAGGCCCGGAGTCGAGTCGTCGGCCGTTCGATGAACTTGAACCGTGTCGGGTTACCGTACTTTAGCATTTGATTGCCGAAACGATGTATTTGAAATCGAACTAAATATACAAACGAAAGGTGTGTTTGTTGCGCGCGTTACCGTTGTTGTTTTACACGTTTTGTCCGGTTTACATATTTCGACGCGGGTCGTTGTTGTCGATTGAACACCTTGCTTTGTGCCCGTACACGTAAACATGCTGTACATCAGGTATACGAGGAACCTGTTCCTCCGTGGCGTTGCGGTCATCTACCTGCAAGCGTTCATCTCGCTCTACGTGCAAAAAGCCGGTAAGTCGCCAACGAAACGATACTTGCCGCCCGGCTCCGGTCAGTCCGAACGCCGTGGACCGCGTTTGGACGCCGTCCGTGTGCCGTTGAACTTTCTATGAGTGTACCGTGTATTGCGGTGCTGGGCCAATTATTTATCACCCCACTAAAATAATTATTCGGATTAGATTATTTTTAACTGCATCTGATTTTCCACGCTAACCGTACAAAAATAAATTCTCACCATTTGAAATTATTGTTTTTCTCGCAAAACGATAGCAATTTTGTGTATAAATATAGATAATTATTTTTTCTGGAAAATTTTAGATGGCCTATGTGTAGTGAGCTGGGTGTTCTAAGTCCAGTTTCAGAACATGTGGATAAGTGTAGTCAGGAAGGAATCAAAATAACTAAAAACTAGTATAACGTAACAATCGCTGAACGACATTGATCGACAATGCGACGATCGGGGTCTCTTTTATATTGAGATACTTTCTATTTACAATAATAATTTCGTAATATGTAATTATTTATTAACTACAATGGGAAGTTCTTAGTTTTACTATAAGGTTTATAGGTTCTTAATTATATATTTCTAAATATTCATCAATTGCATAATAGTAAAACTAGTAGGTTCACCACAATAAATTTAGTCAAGTTCCCAAGCGGTTATTTTTCAAAATGTGTTTGTGTGTGTGAAGACCATGGGCGTAATTTGGACACCCTTTTTTTTGCCAATTTATAGCGTTTTTTTTACGCTGATTACGAATCTGTAGTCGGAATTAGGCGGACTCCTCTAGTTCAAAAGTTATAGCTACTCGAAATTGTGCGTATAATAACAGGCGACGGCTGGTGCCGAGCCATACATTTGTCGGCGATGCGAGGATAGGTTGGTTTAGTCCTTAAGGAAAGCTGTTTCTTCCTCTGAGGGCTTTGGGGGCGTTCGAGTCGGCTCCTGAAGCCAGCAGGCGTTGAAAGTTCAAACACGCGTAAATAATCATATTTCAAGTAGCTATGACTTTTGAACTAAAGAAGTCCGCCTAATTCTGACTTCAGATTTGTAATCAGCGTAAAAAAAACTATTTACAGCAAAAATAAGGTGTTCGGTAAAGTGAATTTGTTACAGACTATGTTTTCGGGTTTTTCTCGTCAAACTTAGTTTCTAAATTATGCCTAAAACACTCGTTCACCCGCAAACGACCTACGACGCAATAGCGGTTAAAAAAAACTAATTACCACGTTTATATACAGTCACTAATACCCATTGTGTTAATTTGTTAGCTATGAATAAAAATGTGTAATAATACGCATTAATAATTCCATTCGATTTGTCGAATCGTATATTACATAAGTCTTGGTTGAAATAAAAGACAGGAAATTAGATATTGAATGTTTGTTGCGAAAAACAAAAAATCAATGTTTTATTGAGGAATAATTATTTTAGTTTTTTATCGTTGAGTAAATGCCTCCGCAAAAAGTGACCTAATTAACAAAATTGTTATCTTATGGGAAAAAACTTAATTTGTACCAGTTTTAAAATTCAGAATACATACATTGGGTATCATGTGGGAATTCTTTTTGTTTTTTATGTGAATTACACATCTTATTACTTAAACAAACATATTTTTTCAATTAAGAAAATGAAAATATTATCTAACACATCTATCTACATTATCTACTGAATACAAGAATACAAGTTAATGTCATTACTTTTTAGCGAAATAATTAAATATTGATTATTGTTGTTTATCGTTTAAGGTTTGTACGGGGACAACGGCATCTTACCTGTACAGAATGTACTTCGCAATGAGAGCCCGAAAATATGGGATAAATTTTTTGCGAAACCCACTTTGCTATGGTTTTCGTCGGAAATTGGATTGACTGTTGAATACATGTTTGACGTAATTGCTTTGGTCGGAGTGCTTTTTGCTTTTCTCGGGTAAGATCTCTATATTAAATCGCCTACCTTAACTTTTGAACCTATAAATAATGTATGTTAAATATGTGCCGACGTAAATATTTGATAAATAAAAAAAAAAATATGAGTCAGGTTAGATTATAATAATTACGAGCTCATTTAATATCACTATTTATATTGTAAAACAGTTACCGAATGTTTTGTATTATGTAATTTTTAAGAAGTCGACTACGAATAATTTATAACGTTTAGTTAGTTATTTCTATCCACGACGTACCATATGTTTATGATTTACAAAGAACATTAATGTAACTCATGATTAGATACATAAGACCAATAAAACCTTAGCCGCAACAGCGTGGTATCTATTTGTTAACTCGTACAAAACAAATACACAGTTCTTTTTTTTATTTTTCAGACAATTGTCTTCTATTGTAGTGTACATAATTTTTTTCTATTATAAAAAAATACCTAAAAATTAGTGGGTTTGTATTATGTATGTAGAATACCTCCATTTTTCTGTAACATAAACAAAACTATAAAAATAAATACAATAAAACAATTTTTTAATTTACATTGTAATATTTATTTTAATATTTGTACATTGTAATTAAAAAAGTATAAACATAATAATTCCATTGAAAATTAATAAAATTTATACCCTAAAGATTTATTTACAATAATTTTTTATTTTGTTTAAAAAGCTAATAAACATATAACAAAAACTAATAATAACTGCTTATTAAGTTTTGGCTTGATAAAAAAAAAAAAAAAAAATAACAAAGTAAAGTAAAGTTAAAATTGTATAAACAGTTAATTTAATTCAGTCAATTGATATAATTAAGTTATGATGGCCACATAATTAATGTTCAATTTATGAAAGACGTATTGATATATTTATATTTTACGGTTATTCGTTTATTCCTTGATATAAATATTTATTCTGCCTTTTCTAAGTATTTTTAATGCATAATATTTGTATTTTATTACAGAAAAAAAAATCTTGTTTATTTGTTAATGATTTTATTTTATTTAAACAGGCAGTAGGACAGTTTAAGGATAAATTAAACTATTAAGTACTTTGTTTTACATAAATGTCTGATAATATAATCTGTACTAAACAATTAATAAAATGTAATAATGTGCCTTTTGTATTCAGGTTTGTATCGCAAAAAGTATGCAACAAATTTGTATTCTTCATTTTATGGATCTCGTACTTGTCGTTGTACAACGTCGGTCAAGTGTTCATGAATCATTTAGCGTAAGTACTCGACATATTATTATAATAACTGTATTTGACGAGTGGCCAAACAAGTAAAGCGATGCCAGTGCTTTGTTGGCGTTCACTGTCGTCGGTTCGACATTCAGTCGGTCATTAGCATTACATTATATTATTGTAGTATTTAAAAAAAACGTTTTTCGGTTACAGCGACCACCTACTTTTGGAAGTTGGCTCATTGTGCATATTGGTCGCTCCATTTTTCCACCTGAGACCCAAACCGCCATCAAAAAAACGCAATTTACGTCTGCATACCTCGTTGGTGTCTTCGCCTCATGATGGAATTCCATTTTGGCTCGTCAGATGGTTGCTGTTCAGAGTATCGTTTTCTGCCGGCATTGTTAAAATGATCTCGAAAAATCCCGCTTGGTACGATTTGACCGGTAAGACTCACAACAATAGTAGTGTATGATCGAAAACTCGATAAAGTCTTAATTTGTGAATACCATTTTGTTTTTTTCTTGTAGCTATGTCGAAATATTTCGAGACATTACCGTTGCCAAATACTATTTCATGGTACGTTCACTATTTTCCGGCTTGGTTTTTGAAATCGGTGACCGTACTGGCCGAAGTGAACGAGATATTCGTACCTCTTTTGTTTTTGGTCCCGATACGATCGGTTAAAAAACTGGCATACTATATCCAGGTAAATATTAAGGTTATTAAAAACAATCAACTAGCAGAGTATATTATTAAATTGTTTGTTGTTTCGGGCATTAGATATTTATGCAATTCGGAATATTGGCTTCTGGAAATTTCAGCTACTACAACCTTTTGAACGTGGTCCTTTGCTTGTCGCTGTTGGACGACCATACGTTCTATAAAGGTAAAAATTATTTTAAAAAAAAAAGTTTTTCAATCGAAAATAAGTTAAAAATTTTATATTAAAAACGTTTTTATTTCCATTTTCAGAGTTGGCCTTGACGAAAAGTCGCCAATGGTGCTCTGCCATATTCACAAGATTAATGACGCTCAACGCTGCCGTTCTTTTGGTTGCCATCGTTGCTACGCTGTACAATTTCAAAATCAGTCCTTCAAACACACCCGATTTCTCTGTTGGTAAGTAACAAAGGTTGAAAAAAAAATGTATAACGTTTATTAATCGATATTTGTTCCCGATTAAATTAATGTTTTAATAGAGTATATATTATGATATTTTTTAAACATTAATCTAATTGGAAAAAAATATGATATTAAAAGTTTTTTAAAAAATAATGTTAGACATCTGGATTACATATCTAAAATAAAATTACAATATTAGTCAAGTTAAAGTTATAATGACTTCAGAAAATAATTTAAGTTCTATTCTTAACATAAAAACTTTTCATAACGAAAGAAAACAGTTGTTATCGATTCCAAATTTCAAAAATATTAAGTAGAAAACAAGATGTCTTTATCCAAGTTGATAAATTTTTACTTGTTATTTTTTCGATTAATTAGAATATAATTTAAATTTAAAAAAAAAATTATTATTCAAATTAAAAATTGTGTTTTGGAACGTGTTCTTTTTTTTAATGAATGTTCCAAAGAATAATATATATGTCAATGTCTTAGACTCCAACAATTTATAAAAAGTAATTTTTGTTAAGATATTAAAATGTTTGCTTAGTCGTTTCAAAAACAGGACAGTTAACAATACCAAATTTGGATGATGACACTTATCAGCTTGTCGCCACTTAATTTTATGTTGTTGTTGTTTTTTTTTTTTAGTCTAGAGGTAATAACTAATGGACTATGGATAATTGGTATTAATACCTATTTATGTATTTATTTTCCAGGGTTTACTCCTAAACAGTTCATAACATTAATGGAGAAAGCTATACCGTTTGTTTTTATCTACGCTGCGATTTCGTTTTTTTTCCAATGTGCACAATCGTTGTATGTATGTATGCCGTCCAAACTCGGTGAACCCATAGGCAATCTGTTAAAATCGACAACGTACTTTGGAATCTGTTTGTTTTTTTTCTTTTTGAGCTCCTACAAATTATCTTGTCTTCATCCGTCTGCAAACATTAACAGTACCCTAACGAAAGATATGAAAATAGTTTTCAACGATATAGCTCCATTCCAATTAAGCAGTTCCTACGTTCCGCCAAAGGAATTGATTAATTTCAATAGCCGCAATGAAATCATATTAGAAGGAGCCAACGACATCAAAGGACCGTGGTACGAATACGAGTTTTTGTACAAACCAGGCAACGTTAATGCAACTCCGCCCATCGTCGGTACGTTTTGGTTTTCGAGTTTTTAGAGATTACGACTGAAGTACTTATCGACCGTTGTGATTTCAGCTCCTTACAAGGCCATGCTCGACGAGCAGTTGTTTTTTGCCGCCTACTCGACTCCGGCTGAAAACCCTTGGTTCTTGAGTCTCGTGTTCCGTTTGTTGAACAACCAAAAAGAAGTGATTTCACTGTTGGACGTCCCGGCACGTTTCATCAAGTCGCCGCCAAAGTTCATAAAAGCATCGTTGTACAACTACAAATTCTCTACAAACGTCCAAAGGTAGATGACGTATACCATTAAATCCGACAAAATATGGCCATATAAGCTGCTTTTTTTATATATATAATGTATTTAAAAATAATATGGGCATTATGCAAAAAAAAAAAATTGGCAATATTACTCTATTGTAATTAATCTATGTTAATTTATCGTTTGTGTATCTGCAGATTGAGAGGCATATGGTGGACAAGAAAGTTTATTTCGGAATATCTCGCCCCTACGGACAAAACCAGCCAAGTTCTTTTGGACCAATTGAAAAGTTACAAATTATTGTTGAACAGGACACCCAAGGACATCAACCCGATTTTCAAGCGTAAGTTATAAATTTAAAAATAAAAAAAAAATGATATATTAACTGTTGGCGTAGGAATAGTTGTATAGTAATTTTGTTGGTCGTCAGCACAATAAACTTAACCCGTAAACCCCAGTTATTCGTTACATACTGTGCATTGAATAAACCTCGTCTTTTTACCTAATCAGTAAAAGTCTTGAGTATTAAAACGAGAATAATATATTAAATATTTTGACCGACATAGAAATATTATAAATTTAAATAATATACTACTATTTTCAAAACACAATGTGTCTTGAGTTAAATTGATTGACGTATGAAATTATTTAAAAAATCACAAACATCAATAAAACCTCATTGTTGTAAAAAATATGCCTTTTCCGCACTGCAACAAATCTAAAATATATTTTATCACTTTATCCAAGTAAAAAATTATTCGATATTTGCCCAGCTCATTAGAATAATATTTTGAACCCACCAAACATTAGATCATTTTTAATGATTTAATATAAAGAAGATTTGATTTAAATTTTAGTTTAAAAAATTATATCATAGAACTATAATATAAACTATAACTATGCTTATGAATATAGTTACATGTATTAAGAATTTTTGTCTAATTAATGCGAGGTGACTGAAAAAGTCGTTAAGTGTTATAGACTTATTATCAACTTTTCTAGGTGTGACGACAGGTTAATAGCATTACAGTTTTGCGACAACAATTAGATTAAACGATAATCTTTTAAACTATCATATTGATAAACAACGTCATTTACATTCGATTGGGTTATCACTTCACGTCAAATTAACAATCGTATACGTAACAATAGTTCAAATACATTACATTCAATCGTTAGTCACTTCTCTGTTGCGTAATAATAATTTATCTAAGTGTTATTTTTTAGTACGTCAATATTGTTTGAGCTCGTTTTTTCAGCCCGGTTAGAAGTATATGAGTCTAATTGTCACCAAGAGTGTTATTATTTTAAATCATTTTTAATTGAAATTGTGTACAAATGTCGTTGAAATACAATTTTTTTAGATAAACTTATTTTAAAGAATCACTAAGACTCGCGCGGTTTTTTTTTCAATATTATTTATAATATTATAATTTAATTCTATTTTTTTATTTGTTTACAGACATTTTGGATCAGATCAGAACAACGCAGCAAACTGTGATCGATCCACGTCTTTTGATTTTTGGTTTTTTAATGGCCGGTTTCGTTTGTATAGCATTTCCGGGCAGTTTCAAAAAAGAATAAAGCAACTGTTTAAGTTGAAAACGTTGCCGTGGTATAAGACTTAAATTTACTCCTTTTTGATTTTTTCTTAAAAGTTTTTTTTTGTTACCTCTCATATAAAATTTAAAAAAAATGATCTGTATGCCCCTCGTATTATTTGTCCTTTTAATTTTTGTATGTTTTGTATATACACTTATATGTTCACATGTTTTTTTTTTCGTTTTTTTTTTATTTTATTTTATTTTTTGTTTTATACATAATATATTTCATACATATAGATGGAAGAATTATACTAGTTTGTATCTATCGCATCAACATAATATTATATATTAAAAAAAAAAATTCTTTCAATATTAGAAATTTAGCCATTTTAGATGTGTGATGTTTTTTAGAAATTTGATATTTTCCTGCCACTTTTTCGATATATATATATGTATTTAAACACGATATTTACAGCTCTGATTACACTATTATTTATAGTATTTTCCATTGTGAACTTTTTTTTTTTATTTGTGTGTGTGTGTGTGCATTTCGAAACATTGAATAATAAAAACTGATATCTATTAATTAATTAAACGAGTTCTGAATAAGAGTACACCTTGAGCCATTAAAATTATAAACACTATGCTGCGTATGGTAATAATGAAATACCGGCAGATACTTTTAACGCCCCATGCCAGTTTTTTCTCTTAGATTTATTGCAATTTTGTCATTTTTCTTTTTGAAAACATTTTTGCTTACTTATGCTATATTATTATAATATTAGACAATACTCGAATTTTTATCTTTTTTTTTTTTATTATTATTTTCTAGAGTTTTATCGGCTTTTATGACTTAAACGATATTGTACATATTTTATTAACTATTTAAATTAAGAATACTTTGACTGGACGATAACCAGTTTTGAACAATTATTTTAAAGTTTAGAACGACAGGTGGAGTTTAACTTTCATAAGTTTTAATTTGTTTATTCAAAAATGGTTATCGACTGGTCAAAATGTTCAGCAAGTTGTTTTTTAATTTAAAAAGTCAATTAAATATATATATATATATATATATATATATATATATATATATATGTTACCATTTAAAAAACAAAAGTTGATCAGGCTCTTATTTTATTTTTATTGTCTAAAGGCTTTGCCTTGTCGCTTCAACCAATCTTCTCTTTTATCTGCTAGTCTTTTCATTTCTTCGTTGATCAGGCTCTAGAAAATATTAAACATTTGATTGTAATATAGCAAAAACAAAAATGTTTTCACACAAATAAAACTATAAAATTGTATTGGGCGCCGAATGAATCACTCGGTATATAATAACATTGTGTTATCAGCTGTTGATCACAAGATGTGTTTCTCTCGTACGATCCTGTCTTAGACCAATGGGCACGCGGTAAATCGGTCTGATGTTATTCGACATCTTTATTTTTGTGCACTCGTCTTGTCTTTTAGCCCAATGGGTTTAATGTGCTTTGGACTTGTGAAGGAACAAGGCGAAGGTAGGTAAGTAAAAAAAACACTACCGTTTTAGTTTTAAAAAATAATAATATCTCCTAACATCAATATAATTCGAGGTAATAAATTCATAATGATGTATATATTATTAAAATAAAGTTAGTGTCGTCATGTTGGTACTCCGGTCGTGTCGGTGACTCGAGCGATCAGCTGATGCCAAAATAATTACCTTTTAATTTGATGCTATTTAAATTTAAACCCTTTTTTTTTTGGGGGGGGGTGTGTAAACATTAAAGACCAAATCTGTTCTTTATTTTCAAACATGGTTAAAAAAGGAAAATTGATCAGTTCTTAAAAGTTTTCAAGTTTATTTATTTTTAACATTTTAGCGTTATTTAAAAATACATAACATAACGTTATTAAAAAAACAGTCTTTACTGGGTTTTCCCCTGTAACAGGACCACGGTTAGGTTAGGTCCGGTTTATACGGTTGATGTAAATATATTATGGTTTTTCCCGTTAATCGGATGGATAATTATTTTTTTTTAAATACAACAATATTTTAGTGATAGGATTTTGTAATTTCAAAACCTAGGTATACCATTTACTTTATTTCCAGTTCGATCGAATTAAAAGGGGATTAGTTGCGCAATTACATTTATGATTATTATTTCAAGTTAGAATTAGTTGAAAAATTGCAATACCATAAGTACAAATGATGACGAGTTGCTCTTGTACCTTTAAAAATGATAATTTTACAATAAACTATCCATCAAAACTGGACTCCGGTAAGTCATTACCTTAGATATAGACATATAGTTACATTTATAATATATATTTTGTTTTAATTAGTGATCTTCTATGCAATGTGAGCTATGTATAATGACGGTGTCATCATACCTAGTGTAGCTACACTAGAGTTTTCTTAAAATCAAAATGCATAACTAAAAAAAAAAAACAATCCATCATCATTATTAATATGTAGATGTGTTGTTCAACGTTTTCTGAAGGTAAAACAAAATATGATTACTTGGTTTTTGGAATTTCAAATGTAAGAATTATTCAAGATTTTTTAAAGGTTACTAAGAGATAATGTGTTTCACATTTTATTATTATTATTCTATATTATGTAGACATATAATGCGTTGAAATTTTTTCACCCTAAAAATGTTACACATAATATTATGAGATATTTTGCCCTTTGAGACAACTAAAATACTATGATAACCTTGGCGCTGAACATTTGTTGAAATTTTCTTGATATTATTTATTCAAGTACCTACCTACTTTTGGTTTTCCGGTTTTTAATACAAATACATTTGAGTAGATAAATTCAACCAAACCCGTACAAATCCAGCCCGATAGGAAATAAAACAAACATGGGATTATCATTTTTTTTTTAAATATGTTAGCAAATTTACTTAGGGAAAAAATATGCGCAATAAATTATTTTCGTACTAACCACTATAGTCAATGACCCCAAAGTCATCTATAAATAAATTCGAAAAGCAATTAACGCGATATTTACATTTTATAATATTAGGCATGTTTGTATTATGATGTTCGAATTGGTTTTAGCTTTGTTGACATTTTTTATCGTTGATTTGTCTTTAACGTGTGAACAATTGAAACTTATTTTGATAATGACTAATTAGCAATTGCACGCAAAACGATTATTAATTAGTCAAACAAACACATTTATAAATAGGCGTAATTACTTATATTGCAACTGTTCTATATTGTTGAACAATGAAATGTATATATATTTTTTTTAATTAATCTAAATATTACCGCTTGTGGATTTGAATAATATTGTTATGGGTATTACAATTATTTGAGTCCTGTGTAGGTATTTATCCTAAATAGGAACCGATACTTTATCCTTTAGTATCCCACTATATTATAGATACATAGTAAGATCTGTTTCTTGGTCAAAAATATTATATTGTTCATTTATGTAAGTAAGATCTGCTGACAAAGACTATTGGCTAAAAAAAAATCCTGTAATAGGTCACTGCGCTGAGCTATCTTTTAGTAGGGTAAAATAGAATTTAAAAAAGACAATAAATAATATAACGAATTTCATTATACTATTTATAAACAAAAATGATCTCTTATAATATCAACATTTATTTTTAATAATTTTTTAAAACATTTTTTCTGCATTCTGTTAACAATCAATAAAAATATATTTTATCAGCTTTGCGCCCAGGCTCAAATTCAATCTCAAATCACTTATTCTTTATCTTGTTAATAATATATGTATTTGTTTAACCTTAGATAATTTAAAAGTAGTATACATTATATTGTTATTTAAATATTCAAACAAAAAATAAATAAAAGATAACGAATATACAAATATATATATATATATATATATGTTCGACGTTCGTATATAATGAATACACTTTGTCGACAAAAAAAAAAGCAAACAATTTTGTCATAGATAATCAAAAAAATAAAATAAAAACGTTGTCAATGGACGCTGTGATGGTCCGGTAAAAATAATATTTCAATAAAGAATTGTAATTACTGCAACAATTAATTTACACAATTATTTTTTTCGGAAAACTGCTTGTGTCAATTTCTATAGAGTCATTTCATGTCAAATCACTTAATGTGTGTGCGAATGGATTTTCTAAATGCCTCAAAAAAAAGTAAAGAAAAAATTGTAATTTAAGTGTAATTTTTCATTAAATTCTTAAACAATTTTTTTTTCAAATTTTTAAATAGCTAAAAATCGAAAAACAAATTCAGTTTTTTAAATGTCATTAAATTTGTATAGGTAGGTACAAAAAGTTAAAAATAAAATTGTTTTATTCTAACACATCATGCTATACTCTTTTGATTCACAACTTTTTTGGATAATTTTTTTTTTATGTATGATGTATAAAGTAACTTCAAAGTTTGGCATTTTATTTAAACGTGCTAGATATTAGAGCCTATAATTTCTTAGGGCTTAAACCAAAAAATCCCAAATTTCTACAACTCTTACTTATATGTGTATAGAACATTTGGTAGAAGTTGGTAATTGAGATTTATTTTTACTATGCATAAAATATTTGTTTTTAAGTCCAAAAAAAAGTGTGTTAAACACCCCGAATATTGCTGACGTTTTTACATTAAGCTAGTGTACTTAAGCCTCCCCCCTCCCCCCACTTGTTTTAAATTAAATTTCGCGCCCACAGCGATAGTGTAAACACGAACGATTTCATTAAACGTCTTATCTTATGGAGAATAATTATTCGTGTGCTATTTGGTGTTTTATGTTCCATTGAACCGAAGGCGTATTATTATTATCAATAGTGTATTTTGTTTTTATTCATAAAATTATGAAACAGTAGAATGGATTGTCCCGAATTACTATAGTGCCGTTCGAGGTTAATATCCCAGCTGATTACCAAACTAAAATTTTAATCCCACAATGACTTTTGTTTACTACACAAATAAAATACTTATCCTCCACAAATCACAGAACTGCGATAGAAAACCGAATAGTTAACTTTTTGTCATTATTCATTGCGTGAACGGTAAATATTTGTACACATTCTACAGAAATTTACAAAATCATTTTGAAATTACAAATTCATTCACTATATACATGAAAAATATTTGTTCCTCTAGGCAAATATGGTTTTTGAAAGGTTTTTCAAACCAAATTCCAGGATGTTAGCAGAGCTCTTGCTATTTGCTATTTCAACCCTTGTTTTTAATTACTTATACCCTTGTAAAAATAATCAGTGACTCGAAAATATAATAAAATGGAGCTGAAGAAGGGTTAAACTGCCCATAACTCCTTAAAGCCTTTTATAAATTGTTCAGCAAACAAATTTAATACTATCATTTTGCGATTTTTTTTTTTTTTTTTTATTCATACCATGTTATTAGTCACTCTATAATATTTAGACTATTTGCACCTATGAAATTAGTTTTTGTACGTTTTGATAAACAAAATTTGTTTCACCTTGTAAGTAAGACTCTAATACTGTAAATGTAATAACTTAATTTCAGCATAGCAAAAAAAAAAAAGTAACAGAAACAGTTTTTTAAACCCGGGGTTGT